AGAGGTTAAAAGCAAAGATTCAGTAAGAAAGGTGCTTTCATCAGCCCCATGAAGAAAGAGTTCCCTTTGCCTCTTCTCCCTCCCAGAGAGTGATGGAAGGCAGTGCCCTCTCCACTTGACTGGCAACAGTCGGAGCCAGCACACTGGTCTGGTCTCTCGCTTTTTACTGTCTGCTTCACCCTCGCCAGGGCTCTCAGCGCCTGGTGGCTCACTATTGCTGTACGGTACTAATAATTCTTCTGCCTAATGAGGAAGGGGTGGGTCAGGAAAGCTGCTTCCTACTGTCAATCTGCTGTGCTCCCTTTGGGTATGACTGACAGGCTGGCCTTCCAAGGTATGCCTTTATCTGGGTCCGTCTAGTGCTCTCCCTGAATTGGACAGGGTCCAGTTTCCCTAGACTTGCTTTCTTTGTGTCTTTTACCCAGACTGATAACCATACCAGCCTTCTCTCCACTGCCATCCTCCCTTTAGCCCTTGGCCAAAGTCTGTGCATTTCTGTTCTTACCATGTACTGCCTGCTTGTGATGCACAGCATAGACAGTATTAGTAGGGGCTCGGCAGCCAGATGACAAGAAGCTTTAGACTCTGGACCATGCATCATTTGGGGCACATTTGGAAGATTATGCTTTTTTCTAAGAAGCCATTTCTGACTCACCAACATGCTTCCAGAGGATGGCAGCCAGGGCTGGGGGACACTGGAAATGGTCCCATGAGAAACAGTTGAACAAACAAGGGACTTTTATCTGGGAGCAGGGGGCAACATGATAGCTTCCCATGGGGGCACAGACTCCTTGTGTTGCACAATTAACCACACTTGAGTAGATTTAGGAAGCAGGTTTCAGCTTAAATGAGAACTTTGCAGTAGTTAGCACTGTCTGTTGGGTGTTGACAGCTGTCCTTAATTGAACACAACCCAATTTTAGGTGTGATAAGTGCTTTGCATGCACTAATTCTTCACACTCATCCTATAGATTTAGGTGCTGTTTGCCTCATTTTACAAATGAAACTGAGATTTGGGTTTAGTAACTAGGTCCCAAGTCACATAGGTGGTAAGTAGCAGAGCCAAAACTGGAACTAGAACTGAGTGAACCCAGTACCCATCCTCTTACTCACTCTGCAAAGTGTTGACTAAGGGTAGACTGACTGCCTTCTGGGGGCACTTCCAGATTGCAGCTCATGAGGAATTGTGCTTTGCTGGCCTGGGAGGTCCCTTCCAACCCTGACACCCTGTGAGTTCAGTCTCACCCTCACCTGTCGTGTGGTGCCACCATACTGCAGCCAGGATGGTGGCCCTGCCCCCAGCAAGCCCTCTCTGGCAGCCTGCGTATAGCACATCAGGAGCTGCTGACTCCTGGCCTTGGCTGTGCACTGCTCACCTCCCAGTCAGAGCACAGCCTCCTCTGACAGGGCCAGAGACTGGCACTTCATCTCTCTCTCCTTTCCCCCAGCACCCGGTATGGCTCCTTCACCTGGTGGAGATCTGTTCCAGCCACTCTGTCATGGCTGGCCCCAAGTGGTATCTTATCCATGTTTCCTTCTAAAATCCCAGGATAGAATATGTAACAGTGACTCCAGAAGGATTCCGGTACCGGGGCCAAATCTTCCCAACTGTGAATGGACTTTTCAGATGGTTTAAGGATCACTACCAGGACCCCGTGCCAGGTGAGTTCTGCTCACCCTGACTCCTGTGGTGTGGTTGGAGAGACACCTAGGCACTGAATCAGGGTAGTGGGGGGGAGGCAGGTGCAGCTTGTCGTAGATGTTCTTGTCCTGCTGCTCCAGCCTCCAGCATCAGGACGTCCTCCAACCACTGTCTGTGCAGCTTCCCTCCTCCTCTACACCCCTCCTCAGTACCTCCTCTCTAGCGCCCTAATTGTGAAAACAGAAATAGGTTTCTGGAGGGATATAGCTAACTCTGGCCATGTCCTACAGGCATCACTCCTAGTAGCAGCAGCAGGACCCGGACACCAGCTTCCATCAATGCTACCCCAGCCAACATCAACCTTGCAGGTGAGGGGCTCGTGCCTGGGCCTGGCAGTAAGGGCTGGAGGGGTGGAGTCGCCAGGACTTTGTCCTCTGACATGCCCCTCCCCCACCCCGGTGTGCTTGCAGATCTGACACGGGCTGTGAACGCTCTGCCCCAGAACATGACCTCACAGATGTTCAGTGCCATTGCAGCCGTGACGGGCCAAGGACAGAATCCTAATGCTACCCCAGCCCAGTGGGCCTCCAGCCAGTATGGCTATGGTGGCAGTGGAGGGGGCAGCAGCGCTTACCATGTACGTGGCTCGGAGAGGAGGCTCCCTGTGGAGGGTGGGGAAGAGCAAAAGGGAGGGATCATCTTGTACCAACCCATGTCATAGACTGGCTCTGACATTGTTCACCATGAGTGGCTTCATATGCACAGATGGGGCTTCCATGGCCTTAGGATCTGTCTCCAATGAGTGTTCCCTTTCCCAGGCCCATTGAGCGGAAAGGCAATGAGAAAAAGGGCGACCTTTCCCCATTCCTTGGGATCTCTGAGACCCTTGAGCCACTAGGAACCTCAAGTGGTTGGGATTGGTGGGCCCTGTTGCTGTGCCAGCTCCCATCCCCCTGGCCTGTTTCTGCTGCTCAGAGCCACATACTGCTCAAGAGGGGTCAGCTGGAAAACTGCTGAGCTCAGGTTTTTAGCTTGCCAGAAGTTCACAATAAGGCCTAATAAGCCCAAAGCCCATACCTACTTAGCTGTTCACCCTCCTCCAGGTATTCCCAACGCCAGCCCAGCAGCCAGTGGCCACACCACTGATGACCCCCAGCTACTCCTACACAACCCCGAGCCAGCCCATTACCACCCCACAGTACCACCAGCTACAGGCCAGCACTACTCCCCAGACTGCCCAGGCGCAGCCCCAGCCCTCCTCCAGTTCGCGGCAGCGCCAGCAGCAGCCAAAGTGAGTATGTGGATGTGGCACTGGGCAGGTTACTGGTCGGGGCAGGTGTCAAGAGGAGGCTGAGGGTCGTCGCATAGACAGGTGCTCTGGGTCTCCTGAGAGCCATGACCCAGGTGATGTCCCCAGGAAACTGCTTTCTGGGAGAACAGAGGAGGGCAGTGTGACGGCTGGCCACAGCTGCTGCCCGTTGCTTTGAGGTCTATATCTGCAAGTGTGGACAGTCACTTGTGATTGGTAGGAAGGCTTCCTTCTAGTGAGCCCCTGAAGAAGCCCCATCTCAGAGGTTCCTTCTCCCTCCTAGGTCCAACAGCCACGCAGCCATTGACTGGGGGAAGATGGCGGAGCAGTGGCTGCAGGAAAAGGAGGCAGAGCGGCGGAAACAGAAGCAACGGCTGACACCTCGGCCCTCCCCCAGCCCCATGATCGAAAGCACCCCCATGTCCATTGCTGGCGATGCCACCCCGCTCCTGGACGAGATGGATCGGTAGGGGGCCTGCTTCTAGGACTCTGGTTACCTCTGAGGCCGGGAGAGGCCTGGCTGCCTACTGCCTCACTCCCTGCCCCTCCTTTTCTGTCCATAAAGTGGCGTGAATTGACGTTCTCCTTGGTGGTCAGCCTGGATGGGCGACAGGCTGGATGGCCTTGTGACCTTGAGCTCAGTATACACGAGGCGACAATTCTCCCGCTCCAGGCCCTCACCGACCACCTGTCCTGGGACCAGACTGGGAGGGGAGTGTGGCAGGGAAGAAGAGGAAGATAAGAATGAGAGTGGAACCGTTCTGTATTCTACTCCCTACAAGCCATTTTGAGCTTCTGCCCTCACCCGACTCTGGGCTGTGACCGGGGCATCAAGCTCAGCACACGAGTCTCCCCAGCTCTTGTGGGGAAAGGGATGCTATTTATTCAGTTTGGGGCAGGAGGGAGAGGAGGGAAAGTATTTTCTGACCCTGATGCCAACAGCTTGGGTGGCTGTCAAAGCAGGATTTCAGGGGATATTGGGGAGCAGCACTAACCCACCCAGTCCCCACCTGGCCACCCTCACCCACCTGCTGCCTCCACCACTTCCTGCCTGTCATTTGAATAAACAGTGTTTCTATAGAGCACTTGGCAAAGCCTCTCCGACTCTCTCGCTTTTGAGGGGTGGCTTTCAAAGCAGCGTTTGGAGCTTTGAGGGCTCCGTCACTCCCTCTTCTAGGCCAACAAGAAGCGGTGATGCAGAAGAGCAGGCAGCTTCTGCATCAGGCTGCTGAGGGTCAGTGCCTGCCCCACTACTCAGCCCTGTGACTTTGAGCAAGATCCTATTGTCGCTAAGCCAGCTTTCTTACCTGGAAAATGGAGATAGTGATGCCTACCTCCTCAGGACAGCTGTGAGGGACAGAATGTTCCATGCTTGGCCCAGTGCTCAGGCCCCCTTAAGGCCTCAGTAAATATTAGCTCCTGTTAACACTCATACAGCCAGCCATCCCATGCCTACTAGTCTTCTCTGGTATATCGGAGAAAGGCCACAAGGAAATTTGGGTTTCTCAACTTGAATGCCTGCACCTTTCTCCCCACTTTTTGCTGGCTGTGCCTTGGTCTGTGACGGTCTATCTATGCAAGTCAAATGGACCTGCCCTTGGACGGGCCTCATGCTTACAGGCTTCTACACACAAGCACTGGACTGGGAAAGGGAGCTGGGACGTTGCAGGGGAGGCCAGCCCCCTGGGCCTGGTGCCTTGGCTGAGCCTCATTGCCTCTTCATGCTCTGGACTCCTAATCTCCCTGTGTTTCTTCACTCGGGCTTGGTCTCACATCTTTGCAAGTTGGTGCTCGGAGAGTGAGGCTGTCCCCCTCCCTTTCCCCTGCTTGAGGCTTAGCAGAGAAGTCAGTAAAGGTTCAAGCTTGGGGAGCTCCCCACCTTCCTTTTCTTCAAGATCTCTTTGGTCATTTGTTTGCAAAAGTTGGAGGAAGGGGCTGACCTGCCGGGAAGTCAGTTCTATTCCCTTTAGCACAAAAGGTCTAGAAGGGTCTAGCAGGAGCAGGGCCACACCAGCTGGGAAGATCATGTTACCTTTGGTGCCACCAGGACTTTCCCTAGGGCCCCTTAGAGGAGGCAAAGGCCAGGCACAGTGGTAGAGTGGGTTGAAAAGTTCAATTTATTAGGGCATCACTGCAGACAGTACTGCCTGCCCCCTAGTGGAATTCACACAAATCAGTCTCCCAGTGAACAGGATGCCTCCTTCCCACCTGACCCCAATGTGCTATTCTGCCCTGGGCCTAGGATGATCTAAGAAACAGGCTGTGCTCCTCACTACTCTCCCATTACCTTCCCTTGGACTTCCTCTTGAAAGATGGATTGCCCTTCAGAAACCCTTGCAGCCCCCTAGCCACCTGGCTCCAGCTGTGCCCAGAGCCCACCCCATCCCCCTAGAAACAGCCAGGTTGAAGGGAGACAGAACAGCAGCAGGGGATCAGCTATAGGCTTGATCCCTTTTATTCTTCACCCTGGTCACCCTGGCCTCAACTGAGATTGGGGTTTGATGCTGGGGGAGATTTCCTCTTGATGACTTTCTTGACTGGCAAGGCCTTCACCCCAGGCTTCTTGGCCTGGACTGTGTTCTCTTTCTTCCTGGGTGACAAAGACTCTACAACATCCTCGCTGGAGGGCTCCTCCCACCTGGGATCGCTGTAACTGTTCTCACTGTCCAGGTCTCTCCTACTGTCTGGGCTGGACTCTGACATCCCGGCCGACTCTCTTGGGCTTGTCAATCGACTCAAGTCTGGAGGCGAAGGTCCTGATTTAATTGGGCTTTTCTTCTTAGTCACCTTGTCCTTCTTGACTTTTTTCTTTAGCTTTACTTTCTCCTCCGTCTCCTTATCTTTCTCTTTTTCCTTTGTCTTCTTTACCTTCTTGATCACCCTGCTGCCCTGGGACTTCCCTGTGGGGCTCTCAGAGCGCCAGATAGTGATGGGAGCCACTAAATCAGAGGGAACTGAGACGGTGCTCATGCATATGTCAGTGGGTGTGGCAGCGGGCACCACCTGGGCTGGAATGGGAGGCTGGCTTGCTGCTTCCTCCTCTTCCTCCTCCTCATTCAGGTCATCTGCCCCATAGTCATGGTGGAGTGGGTGGTGGATCACTGCCACAGAGATGGGCCTGTAGCCTTTGCACCTGGAAGGGAAGGGAACAGGAAAAGAGGTTGAGAGAAAGTTGGAGCCAGTGCCCCTGAGTGCTTCCCCTGTCAGCCTGCCAGCACTCACCAGCTGTACCAGAACCGCTCCACACATTCTTCCTCTGGGATGAGCCCAAAGCAAGGGGATTGGATGATGTTGAAACAGGGTGAGCCCACGTCTTGGGAGCTGCCGCTATTTGTCTTCTCTGAGCAGTCCATCAGCCTGCCACACAGGGGACTCAGCCTGGCTCCCACACCTCCAAGACTCCCCAGGGGCCCAGAACCAAGGAGCCTGAAGGACAGCAGGCTTCCACTGGGCCCAGCCCAGGCTGCCAAAAAACCTCCACCCCATTGCCCTTGGGGCAGAGTCAGGTTTACAAAAATGGGGCTGGGCTCTGGGCTTGGAGTCTCCCAAGGAGACGGGCCCTTACCTAGAGTCACAGTCACAGTGGCTGATCGAGTGCAGGTGCACATCGTGGTGGGCACAGTCCGAGGTGAAGGGGTGAAAGATGTGCCTGCTGCACTGCTTATGTTTCCAGCAGCACCTGTCAGCGTCGGTGGAGTCACCTAAGGTGTAGGGAGTCCATGTCACGGGGAGGCAGTGGCAGAGCACCTCCGGGTCTCCAGCTCAGTCCAAAGACTCCACCAAATTCACCCACCAGCCTCCCCACCTCCAGGTGTTTGTGCCTCAAGAGTAGTAACTCCAGGTCTCAGCACTGCCTTCCCCAAGCCCAGTGCAGACTGCCTGTCCCCCGCAGGCCCCCAGGCAGCTCTCACCAAGGTCCTCACCAGGTCCCCTCCCATACCTGTCCTGTGACACCTGCCTCTAGCCCTCCCCTGTCTTCTGTGGAAGGCTAGCCTGGGGCCTTCCACCAAGTCCTGTCTGCCTCTCACCCCCTGCTCGATGGGGTTGTTAGCTCCACAGGGTACCTCAGTAGGGGAAGGCCCTCTCGCTATGGCAGACTGGAGCTCCATTTCAGTCCCCAGTGATTAGAGCCAGCAGCAGCCTCTCTGTTCCTATGTCTACCCTGCACAAGCCCAAGAGGGCCACATCAGCCCCTCTCTGCCTCTGAAGCCACTCCAGCCCCAAGGACTGCTATGGTATGGAGACCCAAGCCTAGAGAGCAGAGGCCTAACCCGCCACTCATCATGCTCCTTGGCTGCTTCTGCTGACTGGTCCTTTTCCCTCCTCTCCAAGCCCCTTCTCCCTTCCAACACCTTTCTCACTTCTCTTCCCTTTCCCACACTCTTGATTCCTTCCCTGCTCTGTACTCAGCAAGTTCCCATTCCCATCCATTCTCTCTTCCCCAATCCTGGGAGTCACAAATGAACAACCCACCCTTCTGTCCCTTGTAGGCAACAGATACCATGTCCCCTTTCCCAGGGAACAGGAGAAGCTACTGGGGTGAAATTTGGGATGGGAGAAAGCCTTCCCACTTCTGATGCTCACATCTGTGAGTATCCCAGCCTCAAGTCTGACCTGTCTGAGGCTCCAGTCTACCAATGGCTGACCCCGCAAGCCACCATCTAAAAGGTAAGCCCATGAAGTGACTCCATGTGCCCAAGGTCTCACCAGGGCTGAGAGGAAAAGGCAGTTTTCTGCAGGTCCCCCGGATTCTGGCTGCACCCACCCCGAGAGAAAGAAGGTGGACACTGATGAGTTCCATGGGAGCCTGGCATGGGGTGCTATGGCTGGCTGACTCCCTCCAAACAAGCAGGAGGAGTGCACCTTAAGTGCACTTGAAGATGAGGAGATAGGGCAGCTTGGTCTGAGCCTTGCCCTGCATTCCTCTCATCCAGACTGTGAGAGTCCTGGATCCTTCATACACCCTGACCCACTTGGCAGCCTCCCTTTCTGCTTCCTCTTCTCCCGTGTTCTTTCTCCATCCCAAGGAAAATAAGATACATAATTCAGGACCTTGGAACACCACCATCACCACTACGAGCTGGGTTTCTTCAGCACTGCTGAACTGGGGCAAAAAGCAGCACGTGGCAAGTACCCTGAACTTCAGTACCTGGACAAGCCTGGGTCCAAGTCTTGACTCTGTCACTTAGCTGGGTGACCTTGGGCAAATTACTTCTTGGAGCCTGATTTCCTTATACACAAAATAGGGACACCTTTTTCACAAGGTTGTTGGGAGGATTCAGTTCACATATGTTAAAGACATTTGTACACTACAAAGTACTATGCAAAGGGCGAATGAGCCAAGATGGCAGCATGAGTAGGGCAGCGGAAATCTCCCAAAACCATATATATTTTTGAAAATACAACAAATACAACTATTCCTAAAAGAGAGACCAGTGGATACAGTACAACAGCCAGGCGACATCTACATCTGCGAGAACCCAGCGCCTCATGAAGGGGGTAAGATACAAGCCATGGCCCAGCAGGACCCAAGCGGCCCCTGGCAGGAGGAAAGGAGTCAGAGCGGGGAGGGAGTGAAAGCCCAGGACTGCTAAACAACCAGCTCTAGTAATCTGCACCAGGAGTGCAGATGCACACTGCATGGTGTGCTGGATATTAGAGAAACGGAAGAGCAAAACCTGTGAGCGGGTCCCCGCAACCAGCTCCCCTGGGAAAAAATAAAAGCAAGTGCTTTTTGAAAGTCTTAAAGGGACAGGGGCCTCACAGCTGGATGGAAACGTCCTGGCACACTCAGCCCAGCAGGCTGGGAATCCTGAGGAACGTCAGGCGCCCCAGTCCCCTGGGTGGCAACGCAGCCCTAAAGCCCCTCATGGCAATAAGCAGCCTGCCAGTCATTCCCCTGGCTGGCGCAGCCCCCAACACATCGGCTCAGTAGCCAGAGAGCAGCCACACACACCCAAGATGGCAGTAGAGCAGCCGGGGAATGGCCGTGCGTGCCTGCGGCGGTGGCGGTGAGCAGCCTGCGAGCAGCCGTGCCCCCAGCAGACGCCCAGAATCTCCTCCTGTCACACAGCCGCCTGGACCAGACCCAAAGTCCGCTGCCAGCAGGCAGCTGCCCAGAAAAGGCAAAGGAAACAAGGGCAAGGTGCAAAGAGGTGCCACTCTCGCAGGAGAGCACACCTAGCATACCTGCCACTCCCTGTAGGGCTCTGAGCTACCGTGACAGTGACCCCACCCACGGCAGCATAGGGGATTAATCCGGAGGCTGCTCCAGGAGTGCAGGTAACCAACACAGGCAGTGGAGAAGGGCAAGGCATCCAGCAAGCAGGAAGGGGCTTTGTTCTCCCAGCTGACCCATGTTCTACCTGCCTACAGCTACCTCTATCACCATGAAAAGGCAGAAGAATTTGGTCCAGTCCAGAATTCCCCAGACAACCCCTGAGAGAGGGCCTGGGGAGATAGATTTAACCAATCTTCCTGAAAAATAATTTAAAATAAAGGTCATAACCATGCTGATGGACCTGCAGAGAAATATGCAAGAGCTAAAGGAGCAAGTAGGGAGGGAGAATAGAGAAATAAAACAATCTCTGGAAGGACATAAGAGCAAACTGGATGAGGTGCAAGAGGCCGCTAATGGAACAGAAATCAGAGAACAGGAACACAGAGAAGCTGAGGCAGAGAGAGATAAAAGGATCTCCAGAAATGAAAGAATACTAAGAGAACTGTGTGACCAATCCAAACAGAACAATATTCGCATGAAAGGACTACCAGAAGAAGAAGAGAGAAAAAGAGGTAGAAAGTGTCTTTGAAGAAATAATTGCTGAAAAGTTCCCCAAACTGGGGGAGGAAATAATCTCTCTGACCATGGAAGCCCACAGAACTCCCAATAAAAAGGACCCAAGGAGGACAACAACAAGACACATAATAATAAAAATGGCAAAGAGGGGGGCAGAGCCAGGATGGCGGCGTGAGTAGAGCAGTGGAAATCTCCTCCCAAAAACACATAGAGCTATGAATATATAACAAAGAAAAATCTTCCTAAAATAGAGACCACAGGACACAGGACAACATCCAGACCACATCCACACTTGCAAGAACCCAGCGCCTTGCGAAGGGGGTAAGATACAAGCCCCGGCCCGGCGGGACCCGAGCGCCCCTCCCCCCGGCTCCCGGCGGGTGGAAAGAAACCGGAGCGGTTTTTTTTTGGCGAGTGCTTTTTGGAAGCCTTAAAGGGACGGGCCCCCGTT